TAGATTAGATTTAAAAAATAATGAATAGATACAATATGTTTCTACATCTAATTTTCTTATACATGAATCAATTAAAAATTTTGGAGCATGTAAATTAACCGATAAACGAGCAAGAGTCAATATTTAAAGCAAAAAATAAGCAAGAAATAATATTTAAATTTGAAATTGATCCTAAGATTATATATGAACACAAACTTTAATTAGAATCTCAATAAACATTTTGACTATGAAACTAAATAAATCATGCATGCTAAAATTTATAAATCAATTGAACAATCTAATAATATAACCTCTAATAAAGTTTCTAATTAAGTAATCTCTATGTCTATGAATCTCTTCAGTTCTAAATTTACAAATTCATAACAGGATCATATCGAGAAAAGAAAGAAAGAAATTATGTCAACATTTAAATAGTTTTATGCCATAATTGCCTTCAAGAAAATATGAAATTTAAATCTCCATCTACTTAGTTCAAATCAAAAGTAAATATGAATAATTCATAACAATTAATCTATAGGTCATTTAGGCTAGTTTCTTTATAAGAGATTTTCGAGTCATATAATATGCATATCATATATGCTTGGTTTGTTAGTATGAAAAAAATTTATGAAGCCAGATAAATGTATATTTAAAATTTTCTTCATCATCTCCTCCCCTTAGTTATAATATATTCATTAGGAAATAAATTAGTATTTAGCATTTTTCTTACAAGTATTAAATTCTATTGCATCACCCATCAGTCATTTGTATGATTTATACAAAAGTATTCACATAAAACTTAATATATTATATAACAATTATATAAATATATTATGGATGAAGATTGGATATAAATGGAATTTAAACAATGTCTATGATATGATAACAGTTCATAAAAAATCTAAAATATTTTCTATAGGAATGCTTGAGAAATTAATGTTAGAAAACAAGACCAGGTCATAAAATGTATTGCAAAAAATGCTTGCAATTTATAAATCTCATAAAACTCTTGTACTAATTTAAATTTACAAGTAAATTTGATTTACCTTTATAGCATGAATCATCAACCAAAACCTTGAATTCTTATCTCTTTCCACTTCCTTTAGAATTCAAATCTAATACATTATATGCACAATTTCTAAAAAAGTTATGTTATTTTTTTCTTGAATCTAGTATTGGAAATATATTGTGTTCCACAAATCATAATGGATATAAAATATATATTATAAAGTAAAAAAGGTAAGTTTATATATATGATTCATAGATTTCTCTACAAGTCCAACAATTATGCCCATATCAACTTGATGAATATCGATTGACTAATTCATCCAAGTTTGCGCATGAGAGATTTGCTAGTTTCACCTATCATCAAGCACGTGATATATAGCATATTCTCATGGGACTTTCAATCTAGGTTGTGATCGAGAAGTAGAGAATGGGAATATTTTGCTTATCAGAATTATGATGCACCTGATCATCAATCCTTTTATTGCGCAAAAATCGTGACTTATAATTTCACTGCTATTAGCATGCGTCTATCTTATCCATAATTCCATATTATTATTTTTTCTTTTCTTTAAGGTTGAATAAAGAAAAATTTTAACTTGGAAAATTTAAGTATTATACTTTTATAATACCTACGCATACGCATTATTCAAAAACTTCCATTTTCCGTGTCTTTCAATAAATAGCAATATATGAATTTCAATATTCAAAAATAAAATACATATATATATTTTAATTGTTTGTTTGCATGACTTAGAGTATCTCATGTCAGTTTTTTAATAGAAACCCTATCCCCAGGTTCTAAGTAACTCAGTTACTAAAACAGTTTTTTTTTCCTAATATGTTGGTAACAAAGCTACAAAACTAAAATAGAAGATGACCTGAATTGAAACACTAAACTAATCAGTAAAATAAACACTTATTCAGAATTACATGAAAAGTCATTTCAACATTTCAACTCCAAGAAAGATGCGTGAGTGCACATGTTAAAAAAAATAGGCATGCAGATTTACAGGTATAAGGACTGGTGGTTTGCCTTGTGCAAGATTTCAGTACCTATCACTACCATCTTTATCTTATTCAGGATATACTAAGATTTGGAGAAAACTCTCTAAAGCCAGCTTTTATTGCAAAAGCGAAATTAATAAAAAAAAAAAATTGCCAAAGTTAGCAACATGTCTCTAGAAAGTTAAACAGGAAATCATTAACAAGGATGGGAGTATTCAAAAATATCTTGGAACTTAGATCTGACATTCCATGTGGTTTCCAATAAGCATAATTTCCTTGAATTAATTTGGCATCCAATCCCAAATGGTTGTACAATGCTAAAAGATGATCATGATGAATTACTTTCAAAACACATAAGCGAAATTCATCCAGTGGGCAAAGCGAAATTACTCTGAGGGTGTTGCATTAACATCCAACATTTACTCAGAATTTTGAAAACTCTCTAAGGACATGTTAGAAATGTTATGTTGCATTATTCAGCTTTCATCTAAAAAATATGTTGAATGGCATACCCAATACACTGTTTTTATAAAATTAACTAAATAGATATGTTTGGACGTATTAAATAGGTCACTCTTAAAAGAAGCTTTCTATTATTGTTTTTCTCAATTGTTTCAAAGAATTTAAGACTTCATTTTGTTTTTAATATTTGCCTTGGCTCAGATAGATGATTTTTTAGGTGGACAAATATGAACAGATAGTTTTGTTTTAATTCCTTAACCAACATATCCCAACTAAATTGGTCAATCATAAAAATACCCTAAAGAACTTTTTCCAAAACTTATGACAAATTCCATTCAAATCAAATCCCAATTTTTCCTGCTATATTCAGTTACTCCTATCCCATTCTCTGAACTAATGACTAATTCCCTCCATTTCATCATGGGTCTACCTTATGAAATCATTAGTACAAAGTGTTTTCTATTCCATCATGTCTTTGCCTTTGATGAAATAGAAAGTACTTTTGTACTCTTAGACTAAGGCTTCGTTTTTGACAACTTTCTTTCTGCTTCTTAAAGCGGCTTTGTAGTACAAAAATTTTTAATTTTGTACTAAAAAACTGTTTTAAAAAGCATAAAAAAAGTCGTCCCAAACGAAGCCTAAGCCTACTTTGATTGTTAGCAACTGTCTGATTCACAAAATTAGGTCAGTTAAAGTCAAGGTTATAGGTCTGGCAATAATTTAATAGAATGTAGCATGTTTAGCCAATTTTCTATTACTACATGAGATGAAAACTAAGAGTATTAGCCATTCTGTTTAGGAATAAGTTGTCCGAACATGTAAGAAATTTTCAAAAAGGAACTTATGCATTTAATTTATTAGCTTAAAGATGTTGGTTGTGTAAAAATACTCAAGAAACATTGGATTATGTTGGCTAAGTTCTTAGACAAATTAAAGTCATGCATCAAGAAATAAGTGAAATTTTACACAACCAAGACAAAAAAGAAACAGAAAATGTAACGAAAAGAAAGAACATCAGGATTTAATGTGAAAAAACCTGAAATCGGAAAAAAAACCCATGAAGCCACACCACACCGAGAAATCTACTATGAAAATTGTGGAGAAATTGTACAAATCTCTCTTCTCTCTCACAATCACCTTGACTCTCTTCCCTCTCACACCATTTTCTACACTTGTAATTGACAAAGAGACACACTTCAATGACTCCAAGGGGCGCAACCTTTCAAGTTAAACATGAAAAATGAGGAAAAAAAAAGTCAGCCCGACTCGCAATGTTGCGACACCAAGTATAGAGCATCGCAGGGCTGGGTATGGCATGCCGCAAAAATCTGCTCTATCTCTCTAAATGCAGCATGAGTGTACAGCGCTGCAATGCTCAAGTATACAGCGTATCAGAGCTATACGGTTGTATGGAAAAAAAATTTCAATGACAAAGCCCTCAAACCCAAGCATGGGAAGGCCCCCCGACGAATTCGATCAACGTAATTGAATTCTAGTCAACAGTACAATCTAATTTATCAACACAATTAAATTCTACATAGAACCAACAACTTTAGCTCTAAGTAGCTTCTTATTGGATCACATTCAATCTACCCCATTAAGATTACATAACTTTGAGAGAGAGAGAGTATTCAGTAAGCATCTTCCCAAGTTCAAAACACCACCCACATACATTTATCAAACTTTTTACATATTTACCTCAATGTGTTAGTTTCCTTTTGAAAACCTATTATAGTATCACATTCAATCTACCTCATTAAGATTACATAACTTTGGCCTCAACCTAAGCCATTATCTCATTTGTGTTGGGCTATTTTTTTTCATCTCAAGAATCAAAAGAATCAGAGAAATAGAAGTCCAAACAAGCAAAACTTACAATGGTATGTCTAAATGAAAATGCATAATAGCTATCGTTTAGATTACAATTGTGGAAGAATATGATTCATTGGGACTACAATTTTATGATTAAAACAAACATTTAGAGGCATAAATAACCCTTGCTTATTGAAGAAGATCCAAAGTAATTATAACAACCCAGGTCTATTTTATCTCTTTTGTTATGCAAAGTAGTCTACTTAATTAAATTAACTTACATGATTAAGGACAAAGCCAGTATAACTCCACCAACATAAGTGTCTTAAACTAAAGACTAATCTAGGTCCATTTATGACCTTCATTTGAACAGCCTTAACTCCCATAAGCACTCCCATAATCCTTATTATGAAGTGAAAGGGGAGATACAACGTAATAGATACCTTTCATACGGCTGTTGGTCAGTGTTGGCGCTCCCAATTTCATAACTCCAATCAAATGAAACAGTAAATATACATGTAATGGACTATCGATTAGGGCGGGAAGAATGAAAGTTCCAACTGAACTAACATAATTAAACGCAACAAAAATATCAAAACTTTGAAACAGAACCAGAAACAAAATGTAACAGTGCACCACATCATGCTGCAATACACGAAAAGGGCAAAAAAACCATAAATAGAAGAGAAAGAAACAGCTGAAAATAATGTGATGGAGAAAATATCAAGACTAACCTCCTTCACATCCTCCGCCAAATAAAACCAGACAATCCGAAACAAAATTAAGGGAGTGAGAAGCCCTGGGCCTGGGCGAAATCCCATCTTTTGTCAGCAGTCTGCGGCAAGAAAGCAAACCAGCTTGGGAAACTCTGTAATAAAGCCTCTTCCAGGAATACTCCCTTCTGTCCTGGGCGGAAAGGGAAGCAACAAGGGCATCCACTACTCCGCCACCCCAATCCCTCCTGCATATTTCCTTCCATAGGGAGTCCGCCGAGGCCACTGACCTAAACCTTCTGCATGTCATGGAGAAGGATATAATAGACTCAAGAGGAAGAAGGAGAAGGATGGATATCAGATGATCTCGATCCAAATGGATTGCGCTTGAGGAGTAGCTGTAGGAGGGAGGAGTTGAAGAAAAAGATGAAGACGGAGAAGAAGAAGAGCTTGATGCCATGGGTTGTCTTCAAGAAGTGCTTGTATTTGCTCGGAGGTTTCACTGCAAAGAAGTTTAAGGAAATGAAGCAGCGAAGTATGAATGGAACTTCCAAGGGCATTTTCGTAACTCTGTAATTGAAATTCTGTCATTTATAGTAACTTGCAATAAGACAGCCTGCGGCGAGCATAGAATAGCAATTTTTCTACTGACGCAAGCTCACGAGCCCAATTTACGAACAGAACATTAAGTTTTTTTTTTGGACATTTAGATCAGTAAAGGCAAATTCATACACACAACGCATACACATAGACTCGAATCTTGGACCTCTTAGTTGGAAGCCTAAGCTCTCAACCAATAGGCCAAGGAGAGTTGTGTAACAGAACATTAAGTTAATATAAATAACCCCGGGTTTGGATTGGTGTACGGCCCTACCTCTAAATGGAGAGAAAATACATCAATGGAGTTGATTGCTGGTAGGCTGGTCGTGAGAATAGTTACGATGTTATGCACCTCCTATGAGATAGCGGTGAGTAGCTACCATCGTTCACAAAAAAAAATTAATATAAATAAAAAATACCACTAGACAAAAAAAAAAACCATATAAGTAGGTGTGTATACTAGGCAACATAATTAGCTCAAACCCGGTTCACCTATCTAATAGTAAGTTAGAACTTGAATTCAAGCTCGGCTATTTTTATTAACTTTCAATTCGTAAGATTGTGTTTCTCCACTAAACTGGTGAAAACCTTGTAGACAAAGAAATGTAGAAGTTAGAGCAGAAACATGCAAGTGAAAGGATCATGGAGCAAGTTGTTAATAGAGCTTGCTAGGGAGGAGATCTATGGGGTGGAGTGGCGGAACCTTTATATGGTTAGGGGGGCAATTGCTTTTATTTTTCTTGCTTAATTTTTTTATAAAAATTTTCGTAATATATAGATATATAATATTATTTTTAAAATATTTATTTATTTTTTGTGCTGTATTTGCCCCCCCCCCCCCCCCCCCCCCTCATTGCCCTATCTCTATTGCCCAATTGCCATTGCTTGATCAATGGCACCTAATCTTATCGGTCGACTGTCCATTATCTAACTGTTTATCACCAACCACTATTTCTCTAACAATCTTTACTACAAACATAAAAGACCAGGTTAGTAATTCAAACTTTTGTAATCCTGTTTCTCCAATGAAATACAAGCATATTTCTTATAATTTTATTTATAAAGAGGAATATTTCAATCGTGATATGCCTTATGTTTTTTTTTTTTAATTTCCCCCAATAAAATATTTAACTCTTAAAATTACTTATCTATGCGTTGTGTTAGATATTCAATATGAAGTTAAGAATTAAAATTTCTTTACTACCATGAATATGTTAGCACAACAGGTCTCTAGTGAGCCCATTATCTTGAACTTCCTCGTACGAATCTCGATCCATGTTTTCCTCAAACGAGGCTATAACGACTTTCATATTGTCTAACCATCTATAGTGTGGATGCCTTCTCCCACCATTGACTTCCACCCCCATTAGGGTGGGGAACGCGTTTTTTAAGGGGGGGGGGCGGGCAAATACAACACAAATATTAAATATTAAAATATATATATCTTATAACGAAAAGTTCTGTAAAAAAATTAAGCAAAAAAAATAAAAAAAGGGTGTAATTTAAACTATCATGAAATCAAAAAATATAACTAAATGTGAAGAAATATATATATTAGGAGTGGAAAAAGATTTTGACCAAATCCCCCTTAGAAGCTCAAACAACTTGCTTCCATTGATCCTTTCAACTTGGCATGTTTTGCTTCTAACTTTCTTAACATTTCTTTGCTACAGTGTTTCTCACCAGCATTAGTGGAGAAACACAATCTTACGAATTGAAGTATTAATAAAAATTTTAGCGAGCTTGAATTCAGTTTCTAACTTACTATTACCGATAGGTGACCGGGGTTTGAGCTAATTTATTTGCCCTAGTATACACACCTACTTATAGGGTTTTTTTTTTTTTTGTCTAGTGGTATTTTTTTATTTCTATTAATTTTTTTTTTTAGTGAACGATGGTTAGCTACTTACTGCTATCTCATAGAGGGGCATTAACATCGTAATACTTCTCACGACCAGACCCCTACAGCAATCAATCATTGATGTTATTTCTCTCCATTTAGAGTAGGGCCGCTACACCAATCCAAACCCGGGGTTATTTATATTAACTTAATGTTCTGTTCAACAACTCTTCCTTGGCCTGATTGGTTGGAGAGCTTAGGCTCCAACTAAGAGGTCAAAGTTCGAGTCTTTGTATGCGATATGTGTGAATTTATTCTTTTGACCTAAATGTTCCAAAAAAAAAAAACTAATGTTCTGTTCGTAAATTGGCTCGTGTGAGCGTTGCGTCAGTAGAAAATTGCCTTATTCTATGCTCGCACGCAGCTGCTTTATTGGCAGTTACTATAAATGACAGAATTTCAACTTACAGAGTTACGAAAATGCCCTTGGAAAGTTTCCATTCATATTCTTTCGGCCTGCTTCATTTCCCTTAAACTTCTTTTGTAGTTGAAACCTCCGAGGCCAAATACAAGCACTTCTTGAAGACCAAACGCCTATGCATCAAGCTGCTTCTTCTTCTCACGTCTTCACTCCTTTTTCTTCAAACTCCTCCCTCCTACAGCTACTCCTCAAGCGCAATCATTTGGATCGACGATTCATCTGATATCCATCCCTTCTTCCTTCTTCCTCTTGAGTCTATTATATCCTTCTCCATGACATGCAGAAGGTTTAGGTCAGTGGCCTCGGCGACTCCCTCTGGAAGGAAATATGCAGGAGGGATTGGGGTGGCGGAGTGTCGGCATTGCCCTTGTTGCTCCTTCTCCCGCCCAGGACAAAGGGAGTAGTTTCCTGGAAGAGGCTTTATTACAGAGTTTCCCAAGCTGGTTTGCTTTCTTCCGCAGACTGCTGACAAAAGATGGGATTTCGCCCAGGCCAGGCTTTCTTCGACTCCCTTAATTTTGTTTCGATGTTGTTGTTTTATTTGGCGGCGAGGCATCGTGAAGGAGATGTTAGTTCTGATTATTTTCTCCATCACCATTATTTTTTTATCAGGCTGTCCTTTTCTTCTCTTCTATTATTTATTTTTTTTTTTTGGCCCTTTTCTGATATTCAGCTCATGGGATGTGCGTGCACTGTTAATCTTTGTTTCTGGTTCTGTTCTCAAAGCTTTTGATATTTTTGTTGGGTTTAATTATTGTTGTTCACAGATTTGGACTTTCATTCTTCCCGCCCTAATCTTGACTTGTCCCATTACATGTATTTATTTACTGTTTCATTTGATTTTGGCAGTTATGAAATCTAGAAACGCGCCATCAGCACTGACCAACAGCCAACATGAAAGGCTATCTATGGACGTGCTGTATTGCTCCCTTTCAGCTTCATAATAAGGTCTATGGAGGCTATGGAGTTTTAAGGCTGTTTAAACATGAAGGTATAGAGGACCCTCAATAAGTACTTTAGTTTAACCTCGAACCTTAGTGTTTGGTGGAGTTTATACTGTTGTCCTTAATCATGTAAGATTAGATTATCATTTACGCTCACGACTTAAGCTTTTGCATACCACGAAAAGAGATAAAATAGACCTGGGTTGTAAATTACTTGATCCTTCTTCAATAGAGCAAGGTTAATTTATGGCCTCTAACAATGTTCTGTTTATCATTATAAATGTTCAGTCTCTCCGACTCATATTAATTCTTCGTGTGCATCTAAACGTAAGCTTATCATGCATCTTGCCTCACATGTGTGATTAGACCGTTCACATCTGTAAGTCTCCTGCTTGTTTTGACTGTCTAACTTTCTCCTGATTCTCTTTTGCCTTTTAGG